GGGGGTATGGACTAAGACTAGTTCAGGGAGCCCAAATAAAAGGGGGGCACAGATTGGCTGACTGCTGAGAGGAAGTGCATTACACATGGTTGACAGTGCGCAAAACAGGCAAGCCGTCTGCGTCAAAGCTAACCGCATGCCAACATGTGGGAAGCTTATGGCCTTGGGCCCGAAGCCCGCTGGAGTATTTCTGCAGCAAATATGACTCAGCACCCCATCTCCCCTTTAAACCTTGGCACTAACAAAAGGCTCTGGGGGCAGGGAGATGCCGGACGCAAGACATCTCAGGAGCGTGAGCTTCATCCGTCTCGCAACGTGATTCGGACACATCCAAGTCTTACGAGTTCCCGGTGGGGGGGGGGGTTACTGTGTTATGTCACAGTAACAAGATGCCTGAAGGATGCTTTTCCTTAGCTGCTTTTGATGTGATAAGTAGATTAATGGAAGGGATACAAAGGGGGTGTAACGAGAAACAAACCTGCCTTCCGGGTGACAAACTTACCACAGATAAGATAAGACTTGATCTACCTAACAATGAAACAGGAACTAGAACCTCTGATAGGGGCTTGGGGAGGATAATGTCTTATTGCCCTCATATAAGACTGCCACTCCCTTTTTCCCCTTCCTCCTCTCCTGTGAGATCAACTTTGAATTCCAGTCAAGAGCACTGACAAATTCAAGAACTAAGATCAAAGGAAATAAATGGAAAACGGCACACTTGGGGAGCGCATTTCGCCACCATTAACGCACAACAACACTTTTGTTTTAGGGGCACTTTTCTGTTACAAAAAAAAAATTAAATAAAATCATGCAATTACAGAATATTATTTACTGTTATTCTCCGGTTGTCATGGCGCATAAAAGCAAAGCAGACGTGGTTAAAAAGGGAGCATGTTGATTAAAGCTTTTACGCCATATTACAGCCTTAAAGGCCGGCTGGGCCCCATCGGAGCAGTTCCCGTACACAAACATGAAAGCAGTGTCATCTAATGAGTATCTCGCATTCTGGCCTTCGGAAATAAATGCAGGGTCTCGCCTCATTGGCTTCGATTCTACGAAGGTCTCACCTGTCACCTGCCCGCTACAGCATCCACAGCTCGGAACATCCCAACACGGGCTTGTGATCCAGAGCAAGGATCTAACTGTACCTCAGCGCTGCTGAAATCTGACAGGTCAGGCTAATTTCAGATAATAACCACAATTAAGCTGACATCTTAGAATCCACCCCCACCCCACCTATGTTGTTTATTGTTGCTTAAGAGAGACTAAGACCCCACCCTGAATCTCTCACCACTCTCCCCATAGATTATGGAGCAGAAAGCACTGGAACAAGTGTCAGGTGAGAGAGAAAGAACCATACAGTCCTAAATCCAGGACAGGTGAGGCGGGAGATGATTCTTGGCCGAGAATACGTCAGAAGCCTCTCCTCTGTCCCTAATGGCCACAGCCGAGGAGCGGGGGTGCGAGCTTTTAGTGCTGGGTCCTTCACGCTGCGTCACACAGCCCGAACGGCCCCATCGCTGTTTGTGTAGACTGAGCATTATGGGAAAAGGGGACAGAGCAATGATGGGGATGCAGTGCGCAGTGAGACGGAACCTCTCTGACGGCTCTTGAACGTAAACACCTGTGGCGGGGGTGGACGCTGCAGGCTGCGGATGTTTACCACAGACTCTGGCTGAGTGCTGTGTTTTGGAAAGCGGAATGACAGTGTAATTCTTAAAAATGACTGTTATTAACAGAATGGTGTATACGCCTGTGAACCTAGCTCCGTGATAGTGTGTGCGTGTGGGGGGGG